ATGTAATTTCATAAGATAATTTAAGAGGGCGTGTTTAGGGGCGGAGTTAAGGCTGGGGCATGGTAGGGGTTAGGTGGGGCAACTGGTGGCGAGTAAGTTTTAAGGCCTGGCTAGTAGCTCAAGACTTGAAATTTTGAGCCCTGGGTTAGACTATTGATCTCCAAATAACGTCAGTAGAAGAAAAGTAATATTTAAGTCTACAATAATTAACCTCTCATTAACCCTTAGTAAAACCTAATCAGCCCTAATTAACTACTCTCTTATTTGCTTATCTTATTTCTATTTTTATATCATTAATATTTAGATGTTTTCATTTTCATTCATTTTTGTTATTTCTATTTTTGTCAGGGTTCAGTTTTTATTGTAATTTTTTTTAGTGTATGTGCAAATCTTTTAAAAAGTGTCCTTTTTTCATCTGCAAATAATTTTGCCATGCTTTGTACCAAAAACATAAATTATAGAATAAAATGTATATATGTTATATAAACAGTAACACTATTTGTTTTAAAACCAACACCGGAGAAAACAGAAAAAAAAATTTACTTTTTTTCCTATAGATTACATAGATTTATAGAAAATAAAATAATTTTTGCATGCCGATATTCTTAAAATAAAGACTAATTCGCCCCACCCCCCAAAAAATTTACACATTACCTTGTTATCTTAAGTAATGACAAGTCAGTGCCAAATAAACAGGCCTATAGCGGAAATGTAAAAATTGCTCTGGTCCATAAGCTATGTTTAATATTATATCAAAGAATGAAGAAAGTAAAATGATAAAGCTTCTCATGATCAAGTGCAGAGAAATGATTGATGAGTTTATTAAACAAGATGGACTATCCATAGAACTATAGCATGTTCTTTTCATTGTGCAAACCACTGTATAAAAAATTGTATTACTGTACTGAATAAAATAAGCAGAAACTGGGCCCTAGATATAGGATATCTAGTGCTTCAAATATAGGATGCGGCAGGTGTTTGACATATATACAAATTCTGCAGGTTTTTTAAGCACAGTATGGTCTGCAGGTGGTCAATGATTGGCAATGTCAAACTACATAGTTTAACATAAGCATGGCATTTTTTTTTTAATAAAAGGACACAGTTTTTGCTTTAATTTTTACGGTGCATAAGGTGTAAACCCAAATTCTAATTTTCAGTATGCTTGGCACCATGTCTCACCATATACAGTTTTCTTAAAGCGGACCTTCCATTAAAAATGGAAGGTCTTCTTCGCTTCTAGCCTGCTGTCTTCCAAACAAAATTAACTTTAAAAAAAAACCTTTTAAAGTAAAGATTTCACACAAAAAACTCACCTTGGTCCCATTCTGTGAGGCATGGGTTATGTCACTGTTTTGCTGATGCCTCCTGGGATAGCTGGGCACTCAGAATCCTGGATGTAAAGCAGCAGCGATGTTACCCACACCTTCCAGAAGCTTTGGAGGCTGAGATTGAGGTTTTTTATCTTATATGTTGTGAAATATATGTTATTAAAGTTTTATTTACAGCTTTTTTGTTTAGGGAGTAGGAGGCTGGCAAGAAAGCAGACATTCCATGTGCATGATCCTGCCAGTAACAGCACTTGGTAAAGGCTGACAGTGTTAAAGTATATGTCGACTTTTGCAACCAAATTTGTTTGTTATGTCCTCCATAGACGCAGCATACCGAAAAATAATTTAGATGTTTTGTTCCAGCAGACAGCATGGCTGGTTGCAGGTTTTTCTGAGTACCTTCACTGTAATATGTCCTTATAGAAAGACTTAGGCTGGGTTCACACCTGGGCGGAATATGTACGTTTGCCGCTCGTTTCGTACCGCACATTTTTACAGCGATTTGCTGTAAAAGAAACGCGCAACAAATGCGCATTTATGAGGGCTAACCGGCTGTAGCCTAATGGATACGCCGGGCAAATACGCCCCAAAGAAGCTCCTGTACTTCTTTGGGCGTAGGGCGTTTTTCAGCGCATTCCTACGCGCTGTAAAACGCCCAGGTGGGAACCATGCCCATAGGCAATTATTGGTTTTCACATGTTGAGCATTTTACAGCTCGTAGGAACGCGCCGTAAAACGCCCAGGTGTGAACCAGGTGTGAACCAGGCCTCAGGACTGAAATTTGCAGATTGTGTTTCTCTCATTATCTTCATTTACATACAATGTAAAAGCAAGGGTTGTAATCCTTTGACCCTCCTCACCCCTCACAACCCCTCACAACATTACAAAGAAGGAGAAACAAGTAGGACTTTTAACCCTTAAGAAGCCAAGGAACCCTAACCCAAGTAAAAACAATTTAAACTGCAAGAAGAATTTTTTTGATATTTTAGCTTCTGCTACATGAATATGAATATGTAATCAATATAAAAGTGGTAGTATACAAACATGTTTCACCTCTATGAATAAGCCTAAGGGTGAAACATGTGAGAGGTTGTAGCTGGTTGGGGGTTTGTGGTGCTGGTATTTGCTGTAACATACACTGTTACATTGGATTTGCTGTGAATTTTAATAAAGTCTGAAGTATTGGAATTCTCTGGATAGTGCAGTCGGTTCGTATACTACTACATTCCAAGGTTGAGACACATCTATTAGGCCTTATTTACACCAAGCGCGGAGCAGGTGCAGAGCAGAGCAGTTACAGAACGGATCAAAACTGCGTCCAATGTAATCCAATGGTATTTTTTGCTCCAGTTCACATCGCAGCGAGCAGTTCCAGAGCAGGTAAAAAAACTGCAGCAGGCCCTATTTTACCTGCTCTGGATCTGCTCTGGAACGCATGCAAATGCATCAAAAATGCATGCTAACGCCCTGGAACACACTGAAAGCCCATTATAAACGTTAAAAAAAACTTTTAACCAAAAACGGCCCGGAGCGCATCAAAAACGCAGCACAACCCACTGCACTGCGTGTGCAGAAACCTAAGCAGATCTGCTCTCCATTTGGTGTGAACAAGGCCTAACTCATTCAAAAGGTAGGCGGCGGCATCTGGGAGCCCCATTAATTAAAGTGGCTCCCCTGATGCAAATAAGCCCCTCTGCTTGCAGACCTCCACAACCACTGGGTCAGGGTTGTGGGGAAGAGGCCCTTGTCGCTCGAATCCCGAAACAAATTGACTGTCGGACCTGAATCCCGAAAAATGAAATGACGAAAAATCAGAATGAAAACTAAACTAAAGCAATTTTTTGCTGGCGCACATGTCTAGGCATGACTACTCTGTTCCCTTACAGGATTTATATTTTAATCAATGTTTATGCACCTAGAAGGACTTAATGTAATGTAGTAAGAATTGCAGCAGTATTCATTGCTAAGAAGCAGTTGCAAAAAAAACAAAAAATATTTTTAATGAGATAAAAAATCAGGATGCAAGTATAATATCACTTACATAGAAAATTATCTTCAGGGCCACATCGCTAATAATTTTAGAGAGGCAACCAGATTAGTAAAAATGGTCTTGGCATTCAGAAAATATATAATGTTGGGGGGTTTTACGTCAAAAAAATATTGAATGTCACCCCACCTTTACTTTACAAATATATTACCTACCCCCCCACTGCTGCAACAACATGACCACATCATCAGTCACACAACAGCCGCAGTTTCAAATCACAGGATCATCAGATATAAATTTTGCATGAGATACCTAATATCACTATTCCCTTATCACAGAAGTTCTTATTTGCTGTAGTTGACAAAATTGGTGGAAAAGTTGGATATGTTTTAATTAGGCAACTGAAATTGACTTTAATACATGCACATGCTTAGCAACTTCACTACAGCTAAAGGTACCCAAAACTGAAATGACTAAATGATAATATGTTGACTTCAAATGATATGCACTTTTCACCCAAAAAAATGGGCTGAAAATCTCGGCTTATACTCGAGTATATACGGTATGTACCTGCTGTTTAAAAACTGCTGGTATGACACCAAAATTACAGTTACCAGTATTTCTAACTTCTTTATGTATTGTGTTGGCATGCTTCCTTACTTATTACATATTTTCAAAGCACCAAAAAGGTAAATATATCCCTGATATAATGTGAAATGCTGGATCTTTGCACTGGAATACAAGTGTGTTTTAAAAAGACAAGAACGCTCTTTTGCATCCATAATGTCTCTCCAAACTTCAGCTGTCAAAAGACAACTCCATTGGGTGTGCAGTGGAGGAGAGGACAAGTGTAGCATGAAATAATCTCTTTGTTCCAGCTCCACAGATCTGCTGGATAATGATCCACTCCACAGATATATTACATGTTGGATGAACAGATTTTGCGAGGAATCTTTCACAGCCAAGCAGAGTTGGGCACAGACTAATAAATCCCAGAGGTTCCGACAGTAACTGTGGAATGAAAGAAAGTGTTTTTCATGTACTATGTCTTTCTCACTTTGCTTAATCAATCCCTGCCTAGGAGCTGCCCTTTAATAGTAGAAAAGGGATATGATTGTATGTGTGAACTACCAAGGGAAGAAGATATAACTCATTGCTTCTAATTAGATAATGTACTGTTATATCAGGAGAGCTTGCATGCACTGACCTTTAAAAAAAAAAGTCCTCGAAGTTACAGTTTTACATTGTTATTACAAGTGTTACTCATTAAGTCATTTACCATGTTAAATAAAATATAAGCCATTAATTGCAGAAAACATATCATAATTGTTTACAAATCCTGCATCTGCCATGGATGATTAATTTTCTTATTTATTACATAACTTATTTTTCCTATAGCAATTCTCATTTCTGAAAAAGGAATACAAATCTTTTCCATCCTAGCTTCTGTCAAGTATATAAATAAATGCACTTGTGAGTACAAAGTACATACTAGTCTTATATTCTCAAGGGGATGGGATGGAAATTGTTAAATGATATGTGTGATGCTGTCTTCAGGAGGAGTGACCAGTCAGTGGCACTTAAAAGCATCTGTGCATCCTATATATAAGCTTGGCCTACATTTGTCATTCAAAGCTGCATGATTTCACCTCTGCAAGGCTCTCATTCAAACCTCTCTCATCATGGATGATATTTACAAGGCAGCGGTAGGTGGGATTTTTTCTTCTCTCCACAATTCTAAATTGAATATTTAATCTCTCACTATCATATTATAGAAAGTGTTAAAAACTAAAAGTCATCTCAGCAAAACTTTTGAAGGCTCTACAGAGCAACAAACATTTTTTTTCAGTGTATGACAAATGAAGAATCAACTAAGGTTGCTGGGTTACTTTTATCATTTCCATCCTTTTCATTCTTTGTCATTTGGTGAATTGGAATTACAGCAATAAATAAAAACCTTATAAATAAAACCCATGATTAAACCATGAAGCTGTGCCTTTTTCCAACTCACTTCACCTCCACTGAACAAGATGTATTGCTCATTTAAGAGATGGCTATGTGTCATTTTTTTTACTTTAAATACTTATGCTAGAGTTTTTTTTCCTAGTCCCTCAGCAATCACAAAGCAAGCTATTACCATCAGTCAAGAAGTGATTGCTGTCAGAGATTTAACTGTAATAACTGTAATAGAGAGCACAATAAACATATATACAAACAGTATATATACTATATATATATATTCATACAATGTAATATATATTGTATGATTATTTAATATGATATTTAAATATCTAATGAAAAACAGTTGTACATCAAATACTGATCCTGATGTCTGATGTTAAAGGGACTCTCTTCACAAAATAAGACCACTTGTGCTTGCAGCAATTCACTTTATATATTTATGAGGTTTTTTTTTTTGCTAAGTCTGCAAGTTGCTGGTAAATGTTAATGTGTGTATCAATATTTGCTTTGGTCCTAGATTTGTTTATTAACTAACCGTAGCATCTACAGACAGATCCCTATGGAGTATCATGAATCCAATACATTTTACTGCTATTTGGTATAAAATGTAACTAAGAGGTGTCAAAATGTGGATTTTCCACAGCTGATAATCTGCTACTGGATTCCTGGCTTTAAAAAAACAAATCAGTAATCTACATTTCTTAATATGCCATTCAGCAGAGTGCTTGTGTACATTTGGCAGAATTATATGAAGTGCATAAGTGAGTTTATAATGCCTGATTAATAATAACTATTGTGCATTTAAGAGCAAGAACATCACTGTTATATTTACTCACAAGATATAGACATAAATAGACATAAGCCACCTTAGATTGTACATAAGTATGTTTATAATATCTAACTAATAATAGCTACTGTGTATTTACAAGCAAGTACACCACTGTTATCTTTACTCACAAGACATGCACATAGACAGGCATAAGTAAATGTACACTATACATAAGTAGGTTTATAATGTCTCATTAATATTTAACTATTGTGTATTTACAATCAAGTACACCACTGTTAACTCCCAAGACATATACATAGAGAAAAGTGAATGGCAGGAGCTGAAAAGCCCAAGGATAAACACACAGCCACAGGCATGTAAAGCATTCAAGAAGGGCTTTGACCTTGAAATGTGTCTCTGCCTGTGAGTCGTCTAGGCCTCTCCAGTGACAGAGCTGCACATGCATGCACACCGCTTAAGTGTCTTGTGTAATCTTATCACAAAAATGTCTAAACTATTTCACAGTAAACTGTAAACTGATGAATATAGCAAACCATTAAAGGCCAGCTCCACTCCCAACTAGGTTTGTGCAGTTGCTGGAGAGTTACATTGTTATTACAGGGGAAGGTACTTTTGTATTAGGTGGTTGCAATCACAGGTTGTAGTTTCAAAGTTAAGAACATTTTATAGCATTAGCAATAAACTGTTTAGTAGAAGTTAAAGGCATAGTCCGCCTTTTTAAAGTTCTAAAGTCACAGCATATACTATCCGATTATAACATCAGCATTGTAGTAGGAATACATACAAGCTTAGTTAGAGTGGGGACAGAAGGAAGTGCATATTCACAGGGCTCAGTGAGATTGTGTCAGTGCATTGAGAAAATACATCCCATCCTATGGGCATCTTCAGTAAGTAAGCTTACAAACTTCTAGATTGATATGCTTATTAGAAGTGGGATAGAACATATGAAAATTCAATATAGAAATACATGTTTATATTTCAATTTTGACCATAGATACCCTTTTATAAATGCACACACATTAATTAAAAAATCATTTGTAAATTTCACTGGAGACTGCAAAGCACTACAACTCCAGTCAGTGGATAGTGGGTACAATGCACATGCTCCTGCAGACTGTCTCTCTAGCACCAGAAAGTAATCAATGGATGGTGGCAGATTGGACTTGTAGCCTGTCCATTCACAGAACTTGTGAATGAATGATGCAGCTGTGTCACGCTGACACTCAAAACTAAGCAGAAGTTTGTGAGGAGAAAACCTCCTATGATTCAGGTAAGTGGGGGGGGGGTTGAAGATGGGGGGCTGTGGAATGGCACCTTGTTCCATGTTATACCCTAAATATGGGTATTATAGTGGGTATTATGAAATTATAGTCACAAAAGTGGACTATCTTTTTAAATAAATAACAATGATAATGACATTTATATATTTAAATAACAAAAGAAGAAAATAGTGCTTTGAAGGTGTCACTCTAGGCATGGAAAACATATAATTTACACAAATAACTATTAGGAATTCATTGTATTTTACAAATACATACAGATAAAAAAGGGTGCCAATGTATATACCCATCGGTTGCACATCCACAGCAACTTCCTAAACATAATACAATCTAAAATCACCATAGGCATATAGCCTCCCTGGACCACACGGCCACATTCTAGGCATCAACATTGTAGTAACCATTTATAAATATTGCTAAAAGTAATAATTGAGTTCATCATATATTTGTCATAAACATGTCAAAAAGTATTTCATTGATGCATTGTGGGTCCAATCTTCTACGCGTTTCACTAAAAAGCTAGGTCAGGAAGATAGGAGGCTGCCTTTTTAACAGGGTCTTAGTGGTGAATCAGTCCACATCTCCAATAGGACAGTATCCATCACACAGAGGACATGGGGAATGAGGGACGTACAGGAGTTACGAAGATGAGAGGCTAAATTCCGTCCATCCATAATTTGATTGAACTTATTCAATTATACTAGGGGTGTGGTGTCCTGTCTTCCCTGGTGGCTCAGAACCATTTTTTGTATTCTTCAGTGCCGTCCGTCCGTTTTTTTTACTACGGGCGGACGGCAAGAGGTTAATACACACAATTGTATTATTGTTTTATTAAAATAGAACCAAGAACTGAAAAGTTGAAAAAAATAGAGAAAAAATACAGCTGCCTTTTCTATTTATTTATTCATAGTATTTATTTATACATTTATGTATGCATTCATTTTTAAGAACGAGAAAAATCACAAATTTTAAGTTGAGTTTATCTGTCCAGATAGCCCCAATGCATTCCAAACACTGAGCCTGCAAGCCTATTACTGTCCTGGCTATATATAGGAATACAAAGTTCAACAATAGAACAATTGGATATCTCCTATAAACAGCTGTTTTGTATAAGATGAGAGGCACGTGCATTCCTACAGGGCTGGCCATGATATAAAAGAGCTCATTGTCCGCACGGTGTATTAAATTACTTTTCAGAAATGTTCCACTTTATAAAATCCTTTCCAAACTAAAGTTTACTAAATATGAAACATAAGCTAAAACCCAAGAAAGGTAATGATAACTTTCCATTATCACTTCAGTGATAGCACAGCAAAGTGCATTCCTTTAACAAAGATAGTGACTGGCACCCATAGAAGTAGACTGCTTAAACCTTGATGCTAATTCTGCCAGCTGCTCAGCTCTGGTATATGGTTTCAAATAATTGTTCCACGTATTTAAGTCTGGCTTCATACCTATGTGTCATGTTGACACATGATTAGAAAAATTTGGTATGGCACCCCTAAGTAGGGGGTTGACTGATTATCTGTGCTGCCGATTATTTTGGACAATATTCAAAATAAATGCAATAATCAATAATGCCGATAATACCGATACTGCAGGGAGAGTGACCGGGCCTGAAGCAGCACAACAAAGTCCTTTCTGTGCCTGTGTGACCCCCTCCTCATGCAGAGTGCTATCCTCCCTGTTGCCTGTCACATAACTCCAGTCACTGAGGAGAAGAAGACAGAGGCAGAGGAGGGGTCACAGCCTGGAACAAGGTAGATAAATCCAGGGGGAATCCAGGTGGGAAAGTGTGTCTGTATGTATGGGGCGGGGGGTAATTCATGGAGAGTTTGTGATTTAAAATTTTGAAGCCAATGGACAAGGATAATAGCCAGACAAATAGCATTTTCTAAAGAAAGCCAGCAGCATTTGCCTACTGGATTTGGAACTTTACCAAATTTGGACTTGTAGTCCTTGGTGACCTCACCTGCTGGGACTTGTGTTCCTGTGGAGACTACAATTATACTGGGACCTGCAGACCTCGATTTTTCACAACTTTAAATGTACAGAATATCAGCACCTGATATCGACTCTCGGCCTGAAAGACGGACAAATATCCGTATCGGCTCTGAAAAAGTGATATTGATCCCTACCCCAAAGTATGAGTACAGTAGGTGCTGAAAGACCTGCATTGCTATGTATCACATTACACATGCCATTACCATGGGGTCTATTCACTAAGCTGCCGTAGGCAGCCGAGTGAACGACCGACCTGAAGCGAAGTGAGTCGAACGCTGTTCGGCTATTCACTTCAGGCTGGTACAGCTGATTTCAGTCGTATATCGGCTGAAATCAGCCGTACATTGGGTGGCTTCGTGTGGCTTCAGGTCGGCCGAACATGCTCTACTCTGCATGTTCGGCCGACCTGAAGTGCAGAAGGAGTTCGACTCAGCCGATCCAACATCTGGATCGGCTAAGCCGAACCTCCGGCAGGCTACTCGCTGCTGTTTGGTTTATTCTTATCCCTCTGTGGGACCAAGCAGAACAGAAAAATAGTTTAAAAAGTACAAAAAAATGAATAGAAAGCGATTGTGCTGAGCTAAGTGACAGCTAGCTCTGCCGAACTGTTTACTATTGGCCGGCGGTTCTGCTGCCGTCAAAAAAAAATTAAAAAACGTTGCCATAGGAATGCATTGCTAAATTCCTATTGGCTATTTCAATTTGCAATAGCCAATAGCAAACTAGCTACTGCACCCGCCCTCTGCTGCTGTCAATCACTAGAGGGGACCTGATGGAGAACTGCAGGTCCCCTCAGCTGATTGACAGCAGCAGTGGGCGCGTGCATTCCTATGGTGAAACGGCTCCTTGTCAGAATTAAAAATAAAGCAGGGAAAGTTTTACTCTGCTCAATCGAGCAGAGTGAACCTTTCTTGGAAAAAGTGTTTCTCTCCTGGGCGGCAGGGAGCGGGAGACTCCCGGAGCACCCGGGAGAGTTTGCTGTCTGGAGATGATTGTCCCTGGTTAGCTGGTAACCAGGAACGCTCATCTCTCTGCAAGTGGCCGGAGCCAGCTGTGAGATGACGGTTGGCTCCGCCCAGCTGTCAGAAGCAGGCTGGCCACTCGGCCAGCTTCAGATTTCAGCGCGGCTTAGTCAAGCCGAGGCAAATGCCTTCAGCTCGAATGAGCCGTTCAGCCAACTTGTGAATAGTGAATACCCCGTAAAGCAGCCCTTCGGTTCTACTGAACTGAAGGGGTCCTGGGGCCAAAGCTAGCCGAAGCTACAGCTATATCCCTCGGCTGATTCGTGAATAGACCCCCATGTGTTGGTAGCCCATTCCCAATGCATGGGCTGATTAACGCAAAACACGGTAATACACCAAAGTAGAACAGTCAGGAGTGAAGGCCCTACAGGAACCCACCATGTGAGCAATTCATAGGTATGATTGTTGACCTATCATTCTTCTGTATGCCTGGCTGTCATACTACTCTTTTGGCTCCACTGCTTTCTACGTCACTAAACTTGACTTCTTGACAAGCTGCTTGCTTGTTTTGGCCGGTGACTGATAAAGAATCAAAGCCAAAGGATCAGCATGACAGCCAGGCAACTGGCATTTTAAGAAGTGAGAGAAATATGTATCTGCCATTGCTGACCTCTGCTTCTGAAAAGTTAGATGGCTGTTATGTCAATCTTTTATTTTCAATACTTTCCCAGTCACTGGCCTGCAAATGTGAAATTCTGGCTTCCTCTTGGTCAGTGGTATTAAAGTCAGAGAAATCCAGGCAACTAGCATATCGAGCCTTTGATATGAAATATCTAATGAAATTGTTTGAGTTTTAAATAGTTTTATAACCAGTAGTATTTTCTAGCAAAGTACAATTGCTTTGTAATTAGGGATGAGCTCAGGTTCTAACAGAACCCGGTCTGAACCTGAGCTCTTCCAAACTCCTTCCAGCGCTGCCCAATCAGCTGCAGCCAGGAAATTCCCATCCACAGCTGCCTGTAAGCACAAGGACAGGATGCAGTGACGCCATTCACCTTTTATGACCACATGGCTATATTGGCCCATTACAGTGAACCGATATGTCAGGTCAATTACATAAGGTTCTGACTGGGTTTGGTCAGAGCTCATTCCTATTTGTACTTTGGGCAAGATCTAATAAGGATTAGAATCTATAGATAATACATATTTCACAATATGTAAACATGTGATGTAATGCATCATATTTGTACATCTTTTATTTCCTAAGATAGATGGTGCACCTTTCTCTTCAGGTCTACCTATACACATGGAGGCCGACATTGCTGAACTTTCTCTCTGTAAATGCTAGTTACTTTGATGTTATGTTGGGCCTTTTTGCATTAATGATTTGAGTCATGAACTAGGATGCAGAGCAGTGCAAAAATGTTATGTGCACCATCTCTGGTGCATTTTAGTGTGTTTTTGCAGACCATTCAGATGTAAATGCCCCCTAAACTTAAAGAGATGGTAAAGCAACCAATTAACTACCGTAGCATTTCCACGAAGCAGATGTTGGATTATTCTTGTAAAAGGTTTACATTAAGGCAATGCAAATATCAGGCTAAATCCAAATCTGTATGGAGCTTATATAAATGGCTTAATTCCCAAGTCCAACTTGGTCAAAAACTAAATAAGTGAATCCTCCTGCAGTGGGTAAAAATAAAAAAAGCAATACTGGCTGCTGTACTCATCTTCTGAGCTGTCCCCGGACGATTTTCCCCTCGCTTATCCAGCACTGCTCCTCTCCTGGGTTGACTGGTGCCCAGGCAGTATTTATCTTGAGGTGGGGAGGGGTTGGGGGCAATAGTGACCATTTGGGCAATCCAGCTAAATGAGATTTGCTAGGGCCATAGACATATCAATTTCATGACCTTGTCTGGCTATATTGAGCAGAAAACAACATTTGTCTTTAAAGTTAACTCCAGCAAAATCTTTTTAGTTTTGGATAGACTCTTCAAAGCCTAAATATACCGGTCATGTGTTTATTGTTGTCTGTGACCCCATTGGCAAGATTTCATCTCACTTCCTGTCTCTGTAAAGCAAAACAAGAAATAATAATGGAGGGGCTGTCACTGTGACAGGAAGTCCCAAACAGTAGTAGCCTGAACATGTTTTTAACCTTATCCCGTTACAATAAATAAAAGGTTTTGTTGCAGTCTGTGCCTTCACTGTCTCAACAGGATGTGAAGGAAAATCTCCCCGATGGGAACAAAACTTACAAATAAAAACATGACAGATGTAATTCTTTCCCCACGCTGTGCAAAACCAACAAGGAAAGAAAAAGGTTTTAGCTGTGGTTGAGCTTTAAGGATGGCCAAAAAGAGCCCAAAAAAAGAATTAGAGTGACCATTTCACTTTTCACTTTAGACAGTCAGGTCATGATAAGAAGATTACAATCACTGGAAGAGAATAATATTACACAAACGATTTTCCAAGATGTTGGAAATTTTTGTGCAAGCAAGCATTCATCTGATAAAATGAAGGAAATGTGTTGCCAAATCTGTGCCATATTTAGCTGAATCAGGCAGAAGAATATGGTGGGTCCAGGTGACACACAACACATTCATCTCCTTATGTATGGCCACCATAAGACAAAAATAGCACACATGCAATAAGGATTAAGTTACTCCAAGTACAAAAGTAGTAACAAGCAAATGCCTTCTACACTTACAGAAACCCTGAACATCTAGACATCAAACTGAAAGGCCAGGACAATAAAATGGCTGCTGGACAGCTGATGTTTCTCTTCTTGAGGGAGTCAGTGACAGATGGGATTTGTATTTCACTCTTTTATGCTATTATGAGAGAACTGAAAAAATATTGTGCTTTTTACTAACAGCTGGCCAATCTAACCAAAATGGACTTTTGTAAATGTGGTATTTATAAAATAATATGTAAACACATCTCATGAATAACCCTGGTAGATCTTAGCATTCCAAGCAATGGGAAGGTGACCCCCATCAATTTAATGGAGACATCTTCTCATCTATGTCTAGCCTTTAATGTTTTTTCAAAAGGGTAGACATAAAGGTAGTATTATGCTTAACAACATGGAAGGTTGTATGTAAAAAGCTAAAATTGAAACATCACCTCAGATAGCTAGCAACTATGTAAGATGCCTTGTAAATGCATGCTATCAATGTCATTGATTTTACATTATTTTAATATTTACATGTCTTTATGGCCTCTAATAGTGACCAGCCATAATAACCGTTAGCAGCTATAATTGGTCATTTGTTTATCATCTGTTCTGTAAATATCCAATAAACCCTTTATGTGTTGCAAACACCAAATGGAAAACAAGGGATTTCTATCTACTTGCCAGTGGATGTTATTACTGAGGAGCACAAGCTGTAAATCAAAACACAAGCTGTAGATCGAAAAACCAGAACACAAAAAATAATCTCATCCTACAATCTTTTATTGGTGTTCTAAAATTAGTACATTATTCAGTCAAGAATGACCTTGTATAATAATACAGCCCAGTATTTTGGTATAAATATTCTACTGATGTCTTTTTTTCAGTTTCTGGAAGCAGTGCAGTCTTCTCTGTTCACATTTGCACACTGTGGTGTAGCTGTATTCAGTTTATTAAGTTATTTCATCACTTCTTTTCCTTTCTTATTTATAGGTAGAACAACTAACAGAAGAACAAAAAAATGGTGACTATTCAAATATTTTGCTTATATTTATGTTTTCACATACTTTCCTCCAAATTTAATTTGTGTTTTACCCATTCAAGTACTGTACCAGGTTCACTTAATTGTCCACAGCCATTATATTGCTGATACATTCCTTGTAATCCCTCGGCAACCCATTTACCTTCTGTAGTCAAGTGTCAAGTGAAAAAGACATATGTAAGCTTGCAATTAATTTGGTAGAAATTACACAGGGCTAAGTACCCTACCTCCACATAACATGACAGCCTGATTGGGCCAGATGAATGGTTATTTAGGCACCCGGAACTGTATCATGGGAGGAAAGAGAGAGAGAGAGAGAGTCATGTGATTTTTCATGTCCAGAAATGAACCCGGTATTTAAATTTACTCCACTCTTTTATCAGGCACTTCCTGTTATAGGGTGACAATGCTTTGTCCTTGTTTCCCAATTGCTCTCCTGCATTGTCACCTTGTCGCACAATCTTCCAGAATAAACTATGTTCTGAAGCCTAATGAGCAGGCATGCTCTTCCATTATCACCTTTAGGAAACCTGACCTGATTAACATTCAGCCATTCAGCTGCTGCTGGATTAAGTGCATGTAGTCAGAAAGTGGCTGAATTTGGTTGGAGGAGATCAGCAGCAGCGAGAAGCAGAAAGAATGAAAAAAAAGTATTCTCTCAAAAGGAAAAATATGTGGCAATATGATATGCAGCGCTTAAGCAACCTAATTTTTATCCGGTTAGAGTTTAAACATTTTTTAAAGTTTATTTTCAGGGCTATTTCCAGCATTTTTCCTGAAATCTACAAGTGGACATTACTTGTTGCTGTTAATTACAGAATTCCGTGCAGCTTTTGACATCTTTGTGCAAGATGCAGAGGATGGGTGCATCAGTACAAAAGAATTGGGCAAGGTAATGAGAATGCTTGGACATTGTCCAACCCCTGAGGAGCTGCAGGAGATGATAGATGAAGTGGATGAAGATGGTAAGTGCCTCAAATTATGTGCTCTAAATGTTTCACAGTTCAGTATTAACCCTTCTGAGGTTTTATTCATCCTAATGCAAGGGGAATGAAACCGCACACACAGCACACTGTGTGAGTCAATAAATCCCTTTACCATCTTCAGTACACAATTGATCAGTTCTAGCTGAACATCACCTCTGTAAAGTGATGATGTCACATCACCCATCAGAGATGTCTGTTTGGACATTTTCCAGCAGGCAATATCTTTACATTGATGTCCACATTCTTTTGCACGTGTTAATATTGTCCAATATGTCTAATATCACTGGATAACAAATGCATACACAAAGATATACTGTAAATAAAATACAAAAAGACACATTCACACATAATTAGCTTTCTTATAATTAAAACTAGGTGATCTTATTTGACACATAATTAAGTTTTTCCACTAACAATGTAAAATTTGGAGCCTTTAAGTTATTTAGTATAAGATAGTTAAATACTTGAACTGTCACTATTTCCACTAGTTGTCATCGTTAATTACTGGCATATGTCACAGTGGCAGGCAAGGTAGATCATCGAAATTCGGCATAAAGTGCGAATGGATAAGAGGTCACAAAAACGTTAGAAATTATTTGTGAAGTAAGTTCAAAAGCTGGAAGGCAAGAAACTTCTATTAAAAATCCCTTGTCAGCCTCTCAGCTTCATGCTGTCAAATTAAATGAACTAACAAACAATGATTAGTACTGTATTTGTTTTGCATTTTAATAAGCTCAATTCTTGAACACAGTAATTAGGTTATTCAATCATTTCAGCTATGAGAACATTCAGTCTGTGTAGTACTTGCAGAATTAAAATGATTGATTATTTCCACCTCAGGAAGTGGCACTGTGGACTTTGATGAGTTCTTGGTTATGATGGTCCGGTGTATGAAGGATGAAAGCAAAGGAAGATCAGAAGAGGAATTAGCAGAAATTTTCCGGATGTTTGACAAGTAAGAGATGATGGAGAAGTATTGAGATTCATGTTCGATGCCGAAGTAACACTGTAGTCACTTAAGAAAGAAAAAAAGTGAATGTTTTTCAATGGTCCAAAATATTTGCCCAAGTCTCAGAACTTGTGTTTGTATTGTTGCCTTCCATCAAGTGTAACATATGATGAATGCTACAGTCCAGAAAGACGTGCTTGCTGTTTAAACAAACACATGTTTTGAGCTTCATTTGTTTGTCATTACAAAGCCCATAAGGAACTAGCTACTAGCAGCCAGGAATCTTTGGACCTAGATTGTGAGACATTTTATACTGCGGTTGTTTGTTTCAAATTCGTTTTTTTTCTGAAAGATACACTCCAATCAATATTAATATTAAACCTTGGTATGCATACAGAGAGCATAGCCTGCCCGCTTAGTATTTATGTCCTTCATCCAGGGTTTGCTATACCCTTTTATTGATGATTTAATAACTGGAAAACCTTAAATAAATAGTGCACTGCGCTTAACAGGTTAAAGCATACGTAAAAACTCCATATGAATAAAGTGCCTTACTCAACACAATGTGATTTTTCCACTTATTAGAGTGCTCAAATAGTAAATATACATATACATAAAATTGTCAGTTAGAAACAGTCCACTGCATTCAGTGATAATAGGATATAACTTCCTTTGGTAATACCAGTAACAATTCAGGGTATCTCACTCAGTCTCCCCGATGTACTGGTATGATCTTGGAGTCTCCCAGCTCCAGTATGACTAGCAGACAGAACTTACCTCCTCCCTGCTCCAGTGCTAGAGCAGGGAGGCACAAAGGCCATGCCAGTACATTGGGGAGACTGATTGAGATACCCTGAATCAGCACTGGTATCACCAAAGGAAGTTGTATCCTGGATCGATTTCTGATTCTACCTACTGAAGTGAAGGGATAGTGAGAGGAGACCAGAAAGCTACTACTGCACTAAAATGCCATATGACCGTCCTGTAAAGGGGTCATTGAATTCTGGTGAGTGCGGAGCACCTTAAAAATGTGGATTTTTTACATATGTTTTAACCTGCTAAGCGCAGTGCACTATTTAAGATTTTATGAAACTGTGATACACATTTTTAGCACAGCAGCTCACAAGATTTTGATTGATTTAAAAATCTGAAGCACAGATCACATATATTCCTTGTAACTGGAAAACCCTTATTTGTGAAGCTGGCAAATAATATTTAGGAAGCTTGCACACGCATAACAGAATGCAGACACAAATCATCATAGGACATGTAGTCCAAGGCTAGCAGGGCACATGATTGTGATTATATATACACTGCTTAAGCCTCTGAGCTGGAAGTTCGGGACCAGCAGGTCTGAAGTTTGTGGGGCAGATCAAAAAATCACCAAAAGAAATGCACTTGTTCTGCATAGTAACCAATAAGTTGAGCATTTACATATTATGGGAGGAATTTATCAATAATTTAGCAATAATGGAGCAGACAAAAACTGGAGCAGATGTGCACTGCAACCAATCAACCTCTCTCTTTCATTTTCAAATCTGAACTGAACAAACTGAAGAGAGAAGCCATTCACATCTGCTCCAGTTTTGATAAATCCCCCACTATGTATATTATAAATACCTTCTGTAGCAATAACACAGTATCTATTAACCATAAATAAACTATAATATACATTTTAACAAATAACAGCTTCATAAATTAAAAGGAACAAAATGAAAAGGACCTGATTAGAAGTAACAGTCAGAAATATAGACAAACAAGATTACCGTGTGGGTCTACTGCCCTTGGGAAACTTACAGTGCATTCACTAGTCCTACTTATCTGGTATAAACAAAACCCGTTTTCTAAACATAGAAGTTGCACATCTAAACCTTGTTACTTCTAAGGAACCGTTTTGTCCCTGTTTACAAATTCAAAAATTTCTTGTCAACAAAACAAGTTATATTTTTCGCTATATGTTAATTTAATTAAGCATACTGTACATCCACCAATAAAATTAGATGCACATCTTTTACCTTCAAAATCCCAACTGTTATAGGAATGCTGATGGTTACATAGACCTGGAAGAGTTGAAGAGTATGTTAACATCAACTGGAGAGACCATCACAGAGGATGACATTGAGGAATTAATGCTAGATGGAGATAGAAATAATGATGACAAAATTGACTACGATGGTAAGTACTTCTTCAGGCTGGAGCCTGGAACTCAGTGCTACTAAATTCACTTTTTGTGCCAATAGCGTCAATTGTAAATCAATCCTGTCCACATGGAAATACGATTAAAAATGAACAGGGTATGAAAGTTAAAGTGTATGTAAAGCCAGAACTTTGTCTGTATTGCTGAGGTATGCATCCTGCATTTTACGCTATTGGCATCCAATATAGCCATATAGGACTTGTGGAGATCACTAGGTCTGGTTGAGCAGCTGTCACAAGTCAGGGGACCCAAAAAGGCACCTTGCATAGTGCAGAAGTAGAAAATGTAAAAACGATTTTTAATCTCTTCATTTTGGGGTAATGTTAAAATGAAACATACAATGTTTTTAGGGGCTTGGACAGCCCCTTCATAGGGGCTTATATGTTGTGTTAACTGGAAAGGTAAAACTCTGAGGTAATTATAAGTGGAAACTTAAAGTTTGATGGGGTTCACTCAGACTAAGGGCTTTTATAACAAACAGTAGGACGTGCCCCCCTTTGCAGCGATCTCCTTTTACTTCCGGTTGTGTCTCAGGGACAGGAAGTGAAGGGGAATATATCTAGTGATACACACACCTCTCCTGACAGATTTCTTGACATTTACTATGAAATCCAAAACAAAAAAAAGGTTTTGGCTTTACATATGCAAGACATAAAAGCACTTTTAAAGCACACTCTATTCACTTCAGAAGAAAGCCTGCATGCAGCTTGTCCAGGCTTTCCCACTATAGTGAATAGGGTTTCTAACAGGAGTTGGAAGATATGGAAGAGATTCCATGCATTACTGGACTAGCTACACAGCGAAGAAAGCGTTTGAGCTGCATTTTAGTAAAGTATGTTATATAACATAAACATTGGGAAAGGGCAAGGGGCCTAACAAGTATAAGCTAAGATTAAAAAGGCACTTTAAGTCATACATACTAAAGATAAAGTTGCTACAAAACGTTTTGAATATGTAACACAAAAGTATACAAAATTGTACAAAAACCAAACAGGTTTAGCTTTGCATATTCTTTTTATGTAATCATAATTATATATAATTTATCCAAATCATGGGGGGACATCTTAGTTGCTTAGCAACTGTCGATGCTGTCGCCAAATACATGATATGTTGTTGTTTTTTTATGTTCTGCATACCAAAAGAAAAGTCTACAAAACTCTGAATGCTTGTTGCTCTGTTTCAGCTTAATGCTGAAAAATTACATAGGTCCAAATAAAAATAGCAAATGTGCAAATCTTATATAAGTTCTTATCATCCTTTCTATTCTGTTATGAAATGTTCTTAGCTTTTTTTCTGCTTGATGGCATGACTGATGTCAAATATCAATAAACAGTAAATACTTAAAGATACTTAAAAAATAAAAACAGAATAAAATGAATGTACTTGTAAGACACATATAAGATGTACTGAAGACTGTCCCTGTGTGGCTCAACCTTTAAAGAATGTAGCACATCAAAAATGATGTAAACAACTATGAAATATGCCTCCTTTCTCACTAAAATCATTTTTTGAATTTATTGTCAATCAAGTAAACATATTTTATATAAATATCTCATTACCAACTGTAGTCCTTGTAAGATCTCTTCTCTCTGAAAATCTACATCACTCTAAGAAGGAAACACCCCGACCTTATCTCCTAAGACCTAACTGTTATAACATGAAACTGTACCCCGCAAGGTTGTTAAACGTTAAGTGATTTATTCATGCTTTTATGCCTTTTAATAATGTTAATGCATTTGTATGTTTTGCAGAATTCATGGAATTTATGAAAGGAGTTGAATAAATGGAAGAGAATAACAAGTTCCTCACAGTTCCACCTCTACAGTTTTTATCTTAATTTTGTTCTGTAACTCAAAATATACTAAAACGCAAACAGAATACAACCATAATTGCAATTAATAAATATTATATATTTTAAAATTTCATATTTACATTTAGGACAGCCATTTATGTCACTGTAAATATTTCAGAGTATCTAATATCTTAGAGAACGGAAGCTTTTACACATGTAGGAAACCACAACTTTTCTAGTGAAATCATTATGGCTTGATGCTGTTCACAACACTATGTTCATACCTGTGCGCCATGAATAAAGTATATGACTTTAAGGGATAGTTCATTGTTGGTTTTTATCTTCTAAGGTAATCTCATACAATGAAAATATTTTGATTGCATATATTTTTTTAGGTTTGATTGGGCTTTTTCTATTCTGTCAAATATATATTGCTGTCTGTTACCTCAATGTCTAGGATTCACTTCAGTTCCTGTGCTACTGATAGTCTGTGACAGCGAAAAAAAGCAAATGAGGGAAGTTGTTGTCACGTGGGCAAGAAATCATAGACAGTAATAATAAAGGGACAGGGGTTCTAACCCTTCCCATTTTATTGAAATGTTTTTGTCTGTGTGCCCACTGAAGAGATTTGATATCAATTGGACTAAAAAATAAACATGACAGGGGTTCTATGCTTTGGGTTTTTAATTAGAACCTCCAATCAGAAGTCAAAAGTACTACACTCCACTGGTATCAAGCCAAATCTGATTATCCTTGCAAGCTCAGTTTCTATACAAACGCCAATATTCATAATAAAACAGAAAACTGGACTGGGTAGTGCAGATAAAGACACGCTTAATGATGAAAAAAATCTTAAAATGCGCTTACAATAAAGTGACTTGTTTAGGCCATATCGCCAGGAAAACCCATCTAGTGGAACTCCAGGTATCACCAACAGTTGCTTAAAACAGTCTCACAAGGGTGTTAGCCAACAAAATACATGCAGAGATTGATACTCTAGGGTGAACACCACAGTAGCCAAAAGGAAGGGAGCTACAAGACTGTCCCAACAGCTCATGCAAAAGGGAGACTGCAGTTGGGTAGTAAATAGTGATAGAACATCCACTGCACTAGATATGTTTTGGGGCCAGAATGGAGGACTGAGGTTATAGGAGTCATTGAAAAGGATAGGGAATGGTGATCCAAGACTGTGAATAGTGCCCAAAAATAGCATCAGGGGATTGAAGCAAGGCAAGCTCTTTGTTTACATGCAGTTACATGCTCTGTCATTCTCCGTGGGGACCGGTTTGTTTACCTGCCTTTTTCTGAGGCTTTCTTGCCTTTCTCCCATCCCCTGATGCAATCAAGCATTTTTAGGTGGCATTTCACAGCATATTTAAAGGATCTTAGTACCTCACCCTCCTTTCTGATGGCCTTGAAACATGTGAGTGCAGTGGAGGTACTTTTACTACCCTGGATACAATTTCTGTCACCCTTTTGCACCAGCTGTTGGAACAATCTTGTAGTTCCTTTCATTTTGACTCCTGCTGTGTCCACCTCAGAGTATCCATCTCTGCTTGCATCTCTCCTTTTGCTGGCAATCTAGCAAGTGTTTTAGGCAGTTGTTGGTGTGACCTGGTGATCCACTGGATGGGTTTCCCGGTGATTTGTTCAAGTCACTTTAGTGTAAGTGCATTTTGATCATTTTTAATCCATTAAAAGCCTACTTATCTGCAATATCCGGTTCTGTTTTCAGTTTCTATTGTCCAATCAGATGTTTTTAGAAATTAGATTTTTCTGTTAGATTACTGTATATCAGGAAACATTTCTAGGGTCTTACAATAATAATAAAATAAACTAGGGTCTGGCAAAAATCACAGGCTTTAAAATGGGACCTTAGTATAAAAAAAGTCCCCAATATCTGTAAAAATTACGGGTATTTATGTTGTTATTATGAAACTATCTTATAACCTCAGTGAAAACATACTGTTGATATACCATCCATGACTAAAGCATAAGCTGTGAATTGTGGTCATGGCTGAGCTGGTTTAGCTCAACAGGAGGTAAACATGCATGTCAAAATACGTTGAGAATATTTTTATGACATATGCCTACCCTATGTGTTAAGCTAATTAGGAATCATAATCTTATAATTAAAATAAAGCTAAATGTAATGGATTCTACATGACCTTACAGTTAAACAAAATATTCAGATCACATTTCACATGCTACTACTAGCAAAGTTCATGTTATGACTGACACCTTAGCACTGGGAAATGCAAATGGAAGAAATCTCATACATATATTATAAATTAATGTATAAAAGCAAACATCTTACGTAGAACTTTAAAGAGCACATAAAGCATTTAATATAAGTCCCTGTCTCCTAAAGGAGCTTATAAGGTCTCACAACATTCATACACATAGTTGCATGCCTCCATGATATGAGTATAATTCTAGAAATATTGCTAGTACTATGATAGGGCTAGCAGCAATGGTAGGATGGTAGCCATGCCGTTCCCCATCCAGGTGTTGTAATTAGTACTTTTGATAAAGACAGAGTGACACAGCAATTGTCACATTGTGCTTACTGATGCAAAATAATGGCTTGCTCTCACCATCTCTGCTTAACGGAGATGGTGTGAACAAGCCCTGAAACATCAAATATAAAAACAGCTTCACACATGAGGAAATGTCAGGTTAACTCACTCCACAGAAGTGCCATGCAACACAATACAGTTCAGGGAACCTGTACTACCTGCAAACAGGTGTCTCTGTTGCTTGTTCAGAGACAGATCATTCACTGCTATTTGTGTATATAGTTTCTCAAACTTGAAATTATGGCAACTGCTCTACAGTCTGCAGAGGTACTTGACATGGTGTATGTAGACATCTCCGTTCTGCTCAAACACATGGCAGCCAACACAATCTTCTATAGAAGCCAACACTCCTGGTTGTTTTACAACAAACTTCAGTAGCTTCGTACAGCTGTAACATTAACCTGCGCTCACCCCACAGAATATCACCCACTGCAGCCATCCGCACAGCTGCCTCTTTACCCAAGTGCTTCAGGGGACAAGTTCATGAAATATGAGAAATCCAGAAGTACAGTTGAAGGGCATACATAGGTCATGTTCTGCAATTCATATAAATGCGACCTTTACCTTTAAGTAACACTAACCTATGTACACACAGTGATGTTACAAAAAGCATGTCACCTTTACCATTCCTAGAATTGTTAGCTAATGGCCTCATGCTAAATTTATCCTGGTATGTAAACCTCATTACTTCTATATATAATCTTCATACATCTTTTAATAAGGATTTTCAGATGGTTAAGTACACAGAATTATTTTGTTATTTGTTTCAATGATCAGAACCCCTTGAAAAGGTATGAGGAATGGCACAGTTGCATCAAGACACTTATAATATAAAAGTAGTTTTAAAATAAAATACATACATGGACTGCTTCTTACACAACGTTAATAAATCAAATGGTATGTATTCTTTCTCTGCCTTCCTCTGGATCTACATTGGGGTGATTGCTAATCAAACCTTGGGAAGCCCCAAAAAATGGAACAATTACTTTAAATAAACATACCTAAGTGTGTATGGCTCTGTAACAGCAGCTTGGTTAGCACTGATTTTTTCATTACTTGTTATTTTTTTGCCAAATAAATAAAGGTATCTGTGTCTAATATTTCCTTCATTGATTGCCCTCATTAATAATTGATATTTGTAGGGGTCATCTTCAAATTTGAGTTCGCAGGGAGGAAGTCCAAATACATTAATACAATGAAACATTCAGTTTAGGCCTGCAGGCTGTTCCAGCAAAGTCTTCATCCAGTCTTTCTAACATATACCACAACACTCATCCCAAAGAAGACTTAAATTATACCCCAGGTGGAAAAAGCGTGTAGCCAGTGCTTACCCCATGTCTACTGCTATACAGATCTACCACCAGCTTATCTTATAAATCGCCCGAGTCTAGGCACCAAGTAAACCCCATCCCGGACTGCCCTAGACTGAAAGAAGCTGTATGTGACATTCCCACCCCCTCTGTTTGAACTCATTGGTTCTTACACAAGTTACCAAACAATGAACTCTACAGAGAGCATCTGCATTTTTCTGACAAGACCTCATCCAATGTTCAACCTTCATAGAGAAATCTTGGAGAGCTAGGAACCAGCAGGTTGCTCTCAGGTTTCATTCTTTGGACAGGGCCCTCCACTATAAAGGAGAATGGTCCATGATTAGTGTAAAGCAATGTTCCAGAAAATTGTATCACAAAGGAAGTACCAATACCACCAGCTGAAAATGCCAGGGTCTAGGCAGCAGGTAAGGTATCCGCAGTGTCCTGGATTGAAAGGGGCTGTCTGTCACATTTTGCATAATTATTATGGACAAAACATTTTAAATTACATCCAGAAAATTCACAACACTCACCATTCATAATTCTGCAGTCAGATTTATATACTGATGATCCTCCAAGTGCTGGCAAAATAAGGCTCACTTCTCCTTGCATAGTATTCATCCAAGAAGAGCTGCACTCAGTATTGCCTCCCTATGAATCCAAACTTTTTTAAGTCCATATAACAGCATGCACTTTGTTAAGCTCCCCATAGAGAGAGAAACTTCCTCACGCATTTCTCTCACAGGGCTTAATCATAGAGATAAGACTCTCACATTCTTGTACAAAGTCTTATCTTAATGTGAGAGTCTTATCACTGTGATTAAGTCCTGTGGGTGAAAGTCATGAGGGAGTTTCTCTCATTATGGGGAGCTTTACATGGTGTATGCCGTTATATGGACTTAAATAAAGTTTGGATATATATGGAGGCAATATTGAGTGTGGCAATATTGAGTGTGTCTGTAAACAACATTGTGTATGCAGTTCAGTGCAGTGAGGAGTGCTCAGAATTGTGTGTCGGTGAAACAAAACAGCAGCTACACCAGCATATGACACAGCATAGAAGAGCAAAACCCTCTGGTCAGGATTCAGCATTATACCT